ATGTCGAGTTTGGACTCATTTTAAAGGATTTTTTATGAAGTTGACAAATATGTCAAAATTTAAAGTTGAAAGTTAGAATTTTTTGTTTTTTTGAGATAAATGCATTAAGTTTGGACTCATTTTAAAGGTTTTTTAATGAAGATGACAAATATGTCAAAATTGACGTTGACGTTTCAAACCGGAAGTGATTGTATTTCCATTAATATCAAAGTTAAATATGTCGAGTTTGGACTCATTTTAAAGGATTTTTTATGAAGTTGACAAATATGTCAAAATTAATGGTTGAAAGTTCGAACTTTTTGGTTTTTTGAGATAAATGCATCATGTTTGGACTCATTTTAAAGGTTTTTTTTAATAATAAAAGTTAAAATTGATTAAATCCATGTAACCAGTGGCGAAGTAAATGACTAAAAAAACAAATAGTTTCAATGTACTTTAACTGGTTGAAAAAATTTTATTTAATCATTCGTCTGACTAGTTTTGCCTTACAGGCATCTTCAGAGACTTCGTTAAAAATGTGAAGTTACATCCATGTTATCAAAAAACAATTATAAGATTGATAGATCATGTTGAAAAACACTTCTTAATTCCGAAATATACTATAAAAATCAGTTAAACTTTAAAATTTGTAAAGACAAGCACGCTACGGGTTAAAAGTGACATTTTTAACCCGATGCAGCTTCACATTTTTAACGAAGTCTCTGAAAATGCCTGTAAGGCCTTTAAGGCTAGTCGACTAGTCAACCGAATTATTTACATTTTATATTATACATTTATAACAATTATTATACAATTTTTAATAATGAATATATCATGAAAGAACACCAAGAAGTTGTCCATTTGTCTATTATATGATAACTAACTTCAGGTTTAAAATGTCAACCTCAATTTTGACAAATTTGTAATCTTCATTAAAAATCCTTTAAAATGAGTACAAACACGACCTATTTATCTTTAATATTAATGAATATATGGTCAACTTCCGGTTAAGAATGTCAACGTCAATTTTGACATATTTGTAATCGTCGTGAAAAATACTTTAAAATGAGTCCAAACATGATACGTTTAATTCCAATATTTCTCGAGATATAAGCAACTTCCGGTTTGAAATGTCAATGTCATTTTGACATATTCTTAATTTTTATAAAATGTCTTAATCTTTGTCACAAAAACAAAAATTTAATTAAAAAAAATTAAAAATTAAGGTTGGTATTAATATTTCAAAATTAAATTGCTATCTTCATGTTGCTAACTTCGGGTTTAATGGTTTTTATTCTAACTTTTTTGGTTTTTGAGATAAGTGCGTCATCTTTGGACTCATTTTAAAGGTTTTCTAATGAAGATGACAAATATGTCAAAATTGACGTTTCAAACCGGAAGTGATTGTATTTCCATTAATATTAAAGTTAAATATGTCGAGTTTGGACTCATTTTAAAGGATTTTTAATGAAGATGACAAATATGTCAAAATTGACGTTGACGTTTCAAACCGGAAGTGATTGTATTTCCATTAATATTAAAGTTAAATATGTCGAGTTTGGACTCATTTTAAAGGATTTTTTATGAAGTTGACAAATATGTCAAAATTAAAAGTTGAAAGTTCGAACTTTTTGGTTTTTTGAGATAAATGCGTCAAGTTTGGACTCACTTTAAAGGTTATTTTATGAAGATTACGAATATAATAATAAAATTAAAGTTGACATTGACAACTGAAAGTTTTTTTCACGACTAAACCCGAATGTTTCTAGTTCTCGTTCTAGTTTTAGTTCAATAAAAATATACAACATAGTAATATCTTATGCTAACTAGCGCTACCTACCACTGCCACTAGAACTAACACTAGACCGAGAACTAGAAACATTCGGATTTAGCCGCACGTCTCTCAAGACGGCTAAACCCGAATGATTCTAGTTCTAGGTCTTGTGTTAGTTCTAGTGATAGTGCTAGTGTAAAACTAGAACTAACACTAGACCTAGAATTAGAAACATTCGGGTTGGGTTGGGTTTCAATTTAACGCTAGATTGTTGTATATTTTTATTAAACAAAAAGTAGAAGAAACACTAAACCTAGAACTAGAAACATTCGAGTTTAGCCGCCTTAAAAGACGCATAGCTAAACCCGAATGTTTCTAATTCTAACTCTAGTGTTAGTTCTAGTTTTAGTTGTTATTCAACGTTATGTTTATTGTACATTTTTCATTTCTTTTCAATTTTCAAGCCGACATTACACATAGTAGTCGACTGCTATGACAGTACCTAACTATTAGGGGACATGGTTTGACTGTTAACGTCAAATTTGCGCGTAACACTAATATTATAGCAAAAGTCATGCAGCAATCGGCTGCTATGGCAATAACTACGAAGGGAGTTAACCGTTAAACACTAGAACTAAAATTAGAAAGTTCACGGAACTTTAGCCGAATAAAAATCGAGGTTTTCGTGTATTTTGTGTTTTAAAAAACCAATTTTATGAAACGATAAATTAAGTGATTTAGTGGGAATTTCCCCGTCGCTGCGCGGTTACATTATGCATACCGTTAGGTTGTTTTAACTCGAAATTCCTAAACTATGTATAACGTACGACCAACTTCAATATTGGGAGTCCCCTATTTTCGTTGCCCCGTGTATATTGCTAATTTCTCGGCCGTTGAACATTCTAATTTCCATGCTCATACGTTGGAGAAACTATTGGGGATACAGGGAGTGAGAGGAGCACCCTCATCCTATTTCACACAAAAGGGTCAACCTAAATAATCCCCTTCTGGTATAAACACATATTAATTAATTAATCGTTAGAAAAAGTTAAATTTACACTTTACTTATTTATTTATTAATTTTTTTTTTTCATACCCTCGTGTTATTCCTTTCGGCTTTCAGTTCTGAAATTTCTTCCTCGCGTTCCAACAGTTGTTCCCTCGCCAAATTCAATTCTTTGGTAAGAGTAGCGAATTCCTGCAAAAAAAAATTAACGATAATCGATTTAGACAAAAAATATGGTTGAGAAAATAACTCGAAGATATCGAAAATATTCGATATCGCCGGAGCTTTTACGAGTTCGATATTGTCCGGTAATAGCTCACAACTTGGCGATATTTCAGTTCGGGGACCTTAAAAGCTCGCTTCCCCGGTAAACGACCGAAAAGTATACGCGAGGAAACGAACAGTTTTTACAATTTCGTTGAAAAGCTCGATCCCTAAACCCAGATGTCGCGGGTGAAGTTTTATTCGTTCGTAATTCGGTTTCAACAAAACGGAGATTTATCTTAACGGTTCACGTTTTAGTTACAACCTTTTTATTATCTTTATTTATCATTATTAGATTCCCTATTTTATTTCGTTCTTGATCAAAATCGAATTTAATCAATTCTTTTTCGCCCCTATTTATTCGAAATAATCATAAATTTCAATCAGCACTAATCAAGTTGTTTTCTTTTTTTGATGAAAAGAAAATAGCATTTTGGATTTTAATTAAGAATTCGTTTTTTTACGAGCTGCTTTTTATTAAACTTTTGAACGCGCCTGTACCTTTTATAAGCACCCAGTAAGGTTGATTTACAGCACAGGGGATGTACTCCCTTATTCCCTATAGACCTTTAAACGACTCCCCCCTTCTATATTTTCGAAGCTGGAGTAGAAGATAACGATGAAATTTAAAACTCGCAGCTCCTTTCTACGAAAGGAAATCGAACTAAACACAGATCGACCGAAAAATCTTTAAATTTATCGTCTTTAATTTAGTTATAATCGATTGGAGTTAATTTTTAGGTTATGTTTTCTAAAAGTTTAAAATTTATTAATTTAATCACTTGTGGATTATCGAGTAGTTTTGAGATGATTAATTTAACATACCTGAAAAGGATTTAGAAGGAATTTGGGTTTCCCGAAGTAATTTTGAGCGAAATATTAACAATTAAAAATCTCGACGATTTTAAAACTGTCAATCACGAAATGTCAACAAACCGACAACAACAAAGTGAAGTTAGCTACCTATGATAATAAGATTAATTAGTTTTATTGTTGTAATTTATTTATGAAAAATTATTTAAACGTCTTATGTTGGTTATAAATAAATAAATCTTCGATTTTATAAATGAAAAATTAAAAAAAAATTTAATAAAAAATTGTTCGATTAATATGCTTAAATCGCAATAAAAAAATCAATAGATGGCGCTCTATTTATTTAGATTAATTAATGCAAAATTATTTAAATGAATGAAATTTAAAAATCTGAACCACTTTTAGGAAAGAAAATCGAACTAATACGGTTTGAGTTAAAAATCTTAAAACTACACTTACTACTTAATTTGTAATCGATTAAAATTAAATTATTTTTGAGGTTGTGTTCTCTAAAAGTTTAAAATTAATTAATTTAATCAATTTGGAGAAATGGAATAGTTGTGGAGATTAATTTAAGATACCTTGAGGCAATTTAGAAGGAATTTGGGTTTCCCGAAGTAATTTTGAGCGAAATATTAACAATTAAAAATCTCGACGATTTTAAAACTGTCAATCAGGTAATGTCAACAAACCGATAACAACAAAGTGAAGTTAGCTACTAATTATAATAAGATTAATTAGTTTTATTGTTGTAATTTAGTTATGAAAAATTATTTAAACGTCTTATGTTGGTTATAAATAAATAAATCTTCGATTTTATAAATGAAAAATTAAAAGAAAATATAATAAAAAAATTGTTCGATGAATATACTTAAATCGCAATAAAAAATCAATAGATGGCGCTCTATTTATTTAGATTAATTAATGTAAAATTATTTAAATGAAAGAAATTTAAAAATCTGAATCACTTTTAGGGAAGATAATCGAATTAATACGGTTTGACTGAAAAATTTTAAAACTACGCTAACTACTTAATTTGTAATCGATTAAAATTAAATTATTTTTGAGGTTATATTCTCTAAAAGATTAAAATTAATTAATTTAATCAATTTGGAGAAATGGAATAGTTGTGGAGATTAATTTAACATACCTTGAAGCAATTTAGAAGGGATTTGAGCTTCTTGAAGTGAGATTAATTTAACATAAATTGAAGCAATTTCAAGCGAAATATTAACGATTAAAAATCTCGACCATTTTAAAACTGTCAATCATGGAATGACAACAAAGCGAAGTTAGCTACCAGTGATAATAAGATTAATTTTATTGTTGTAATTTATTTATGAAAAATTATTTAAAAAACTTATTTTAATTATAAATGAATAAAGATTTATTTTCATAACAATAAATTTAATAATAAAATCGTTAACGAATTCAAATTGTAGTTAAAATCGATAGATGGCGTTATATTTATTTAAATAATAAAATTTTATAAATAAATAATTTTTTTCATTGAAGCTAATGAAAGTTGCGCAATGATTAATAAAAAAGAATAGGTTGTTGCAGTAAGTTTCTTCTCGTTTTGCTTTATTTTAATGGTCCGGCTCATTAATTTCTTTTGCCGGCCAACAAAACGTAAAATAGCTCCAAAGAAGACCGCGTATTCCGTAATTCAAATGCAAATTGCCTAATTAAAGGAAGCTAGTGTGGTTAAATAAGGGGCCGAAAGGATGGAAGTTACGGCGTCTCTCTTTGTTACCATTCTCGCTTAGTGAGAAAATACACAAAACCCACTCTCCCTTTATTTACTCACTTGAGCACAATGATCTACAGTTTTACAAAAAAACATAAATTCAAAAAAAAACCTAGTGGAGTGGTGTTTTCAAATACAAAAAATGAACCATTCCAATACCATTTTTCAACACTTTTTTAGTCCACCCCAATTTTTTCCTATCCTATTTTGAATATTGCAACAAAACGAGAACGGATTTTCCTCTCTACATCTAGACTCCCGTTCAAATTCCAGCATAAAAACGCTACTGCAATTTCACCGGCGGATTGACATCTAAAAAATGCGTAACGACCTCCCATCGTCTCTTCTCGTTTCCGTTTTATTATTATTTTTTTTTTTTTGGTTGTATTTAACCAGAACCATCTGCATCGCAAATTCCTATGAATATTTTAAAAAGATTTAGGAGTCCTGAAAGATTCATGAAACCCATCGCAGCGCAGTCCAGGTGAGGCACCTGATAGATATGAATTATTCACAGCTAAGAACTACACCGCCCCTTTGACATGAACTTTACGTAACAAAAATGTTTTTACAATCAACCTAAAACGTTTACTACTAACTCCAAATCCATCGAGTACGAGACAAACTTTTCGGGGGGAGGAAGAGATTAGAAACTCGGAATGCAAATGAAGTTTCAGAGCAAGAAGTCGGAACCAACCCAAAGTCGGACGTCTAACTTTGGGGGGACTCGCTAAATTTAATCAAGCTGATTGATTAGGTTTTGCGTTTTATCCAAGCTTCCGTTCTTAATGAAGCGGTCCGTTCGTTTATTTTCCCATCAAAATTCCCGGGGTTTTCAAAATTTTAACGCAACCAAGAGAAATGTTTAACGTTTGCTTATACATATTTATGCGTAGCTTCGTCTCGGGACATTTTTGCCTCGGGATAGAAGGGGCGAGAATTAACGCAATATGCGCACGTACGAGGGACCTTTGAAAAACAAACCCTTCAACGTCGTTAACACCCCCACTCTATGTTCCGTTCATTCTGTATAAGTACCACTAAAAAAAATTTCCCATCTAAAAAGGAAAACTCAGATAGAAAATACGAAGCTACGCATTTTTTTTTTTTAGTTAGCTTAATTTATGCAGACTGAATCATCATGGTTTCTATTCAGATAACCAAATAGAAGACATGAACATCGTTCTTGAAAGTTGGAAATAATTTTTCACGACAGATTTCATCGCAAAGAAATTCCCACCGTTATAACCAAGAATATTAAAGATTTTATTTTAACTTGTAATAATATTTCATAAAAATTAAATAATAACATTGAAATGATTCGTTATGTCATAATGATTATACCTTACTATTCAGTGGGAAATAAAAAAACATCTAATACGTTCTAAACGTTCTTAATGTAACCCTTTAGAAAGTTATTAGCCGAGGCACTACAATCTAGTCAGTTAAAGTGTTAGTGGGCAAGGTCGATTGCGGCCGAGGAGCTACATTTTAGGTTGTCGCAGAAATATTAGTTGAAACGCATCAATTGAAGTCGTCAGGGAGATTTCTAAGACTTCTAAAGTATGTCACATCTTTCCTGGGTTAATCTGGCCATTCTCCTTAATTAAGGTGACTTGAAACTCTCGAATAACACTGCGTTAAGATATTTTCATGCTTCATGTATACTAGAATGAGCGAGTATGTGGAGGAAATCTTAAGGGGATTACCAATGTGGATTTCGAGCCAACGAGGCAGATTTTGGAGAAGGGTTGCGAATATGATTTTGATGTAAACTGCCTGTTCATCGGTTTCAAACAGGCTTTCGACTCGGTCGACAGGCGGAAGCTCTTTCAAAACCTGTTGCTGCCGGGTATCCCACAGAAATTGGTTAATCTTGTACAACTAATATTGAAGGAAACCAAGACCACGGTGGTGGTAGCAGGAAATATGACAGATATATTTGAAATCAGAAGCTGAGTCAAACAGGGAGATGCCCTCTCAGTCCTGCTTTATAACCTGACACTGCTATCTCAAAAATTATCCCAAAGGGCAACTTAACAACTAAAAACAAGCAAATTGTCGCATACCCGGCTGGAATGGTCATAATTGGGCGAAATGATGAGATCGTACGAGTATTAATAAAAAAGTTCAAAAGAAAAATACTGAGAAGAATATTTGGTGCAGTACAAGAACAAGATGGGACATGGAGAATTCGAATGATTTTTGAACTCAATGGTGATGTGGACATAAGCAGATTTATTAAAGCTGAGCGAATTTGATGTCTTGGATACATAAGAAGAATGGAAGACGATAGACGTGCAAAAATCCTTACAGAATGGAAACCAACGGAGAAAAGATCTAGAGGAAGACCTCGTAAAAGATG